CAATATAAACATTTAAAGTTTAATCAGCTAACTGTTACTGGTCATGCTGCGAGCTGTTACTTTTGTGCTTGAAGGTTAAAGGTTCGATACATGAGTAGCAAAAGCATTAAGAAGAATGCTGTAAATGTCAGAAAGATTAAGAAATTTAAGTGTTTATATTATCCTTCTTTTTAGTATCTTAGTACTTTGAGCCAGTGCTTTTATATACATTTAAGGATTTTAGTACAGTACATGTATATAAACTCATTACTACTGGAATTGAAGTACCAGTTTAGAGCCAGACCAGCCTGCATTCCGTGCACTTTGACAGTCTGAACACACTGTATATTGATGGTTGCTTAATGTTATTATTTTGATAATAAAACTCCTCTTATAATTCGTATGAACTATTCCAAATTCAAAGGAAGGCAAACCCGTAACAGACATTTTAAGCAGATTAAGCTAGGGTTAGAGCAAACTTCTTTGAGGGAACCATCGAACATTCCGTCTTAACTGAATTGTTTTTTTTATTTTATTGAACAGTCACTTCGTATCTAGCTTTTAAAGAACCGTTTAGTTTCAAAACTTTTTATAGCGTATTTCAGTTGCACGAACATTTCATCAATATTAAAAAATAAAACTTAACCATCCTTGTAAAGCGTCAAATAAGTTTTTGTTCTGTATTTTCTCATGACATCTGATAAACGAATTTTAACATTTTCAGCTGTTTCGTTTCGTGATTGTATCGATCATTCACCGTATTCAACGTGAAATTAGTTTATGTTAAACCACGATTGTCAAGGGAACCTATGGTAAACTATTTATGGATATTAATTATTTCGCTTCATGTTAACCGATGATTGATATTTGATTGTTCATAATTATAAAGTTAATGAGTGCCATTCATAAACATCCCAAAAAGAATCCTTAATATTGATTTATCTAACCGGATATTGATCAGACAAATGGGGAACAGGTTCCTTCTTTGTAAAATTTACAAAGAATAAAGACACAAAATAAATAGTACTTTTCGGAACGACGGCTATTGACACACAAAACAAACTTGACGTCAATCGACGCATAAAACAGTCTTGGCGGCATTGACACATGAAACAGCATTGACCGCAATAGATAAGACGTCAACATACACATAAAACAGCATGGACGGCAATAAACACATGAAACAGCATAGACGGCAATAAACACATGAAACAGCACTGACTGTAATAAACACATAAAAACAGCATAGATGGCATTGTGACATTAAAGAATATCGACGGCAATCGACATATTAAAAATAATTGTCGAAAATCGATTTGTTCCAATTAATTTTCTGCCTTAAGAAACTTACATGTTTTGTTCTGATTACGATATAACATTTTTTTGTTACAGTGTTTGTGTAAATATCAAATTTTACATATCGTCCTGTTTGATATCGATTTTTTTTCTATTCATGTTTACTTGGAAACTTGAGACAGCTCTATGTCCTTTGAACATTAGTTACCAAAAAAATGACAACCTATAACAGAAGCATCATTAAGATACATTATGTTCCTATAACATGAACTTTATGTAAAATCAAGCTCCAAATCTTATTAACCTTATACCTTATAATAATTTCTATATTAAAAATATCAATAGAAAAATTGAAGAAGGACAACTAGTGTTGAGCAAAGACGACTTTATTATTTCATGCATAGTTTCGAAGTTTGTTTGTATACAGTCAAATTTAATAATTACACTAATATGGTGATAGTGGTTCGTTATATAAAGGTGATAATGGTGATACGTTCTTTTAACGTTGCTATGGTTATATCATATTTTACTCGTCGTTTGATGGGTTCTTCTTTGCTAAATTTAATTAGTTCTTCGAATGGATATAAAAACATTATAATAATGAATTCTATCATAAAGATATAGAATCATAATCATATTTATAAAGATTAATTATTTATCTAAAATTAATGTGATAGCAAAATATTCGTGATCTGTTCTTTTGATGTTTTCACGACATTTTTCTAGCGAATGTCTGATAACAAGGAAATACCTAAACGTATACATTCAAACGTTCAAACATATAATACATATAATACTTAAACATGTACTCTAACAAGATAAAACCTTGTTTTCGTTAAATGTTTCTATAAATAACCGCACACGTTATTTTAAGTCGTAAAATAATTTGTTAGATTTTATCGTTTCTGCTTTATTTAGAACAAGATGTCACTTGGAACAATATGATTAATGTTGATGACGAGTTATAAGGATAGGATTATATTGAATTTTGTATCAGTTATTTAGGGCATTGAGAAATGATTGTCCATATATCTATATTGTGATTATCTCCGTTGTTTAACATAACGTACCAAATAAGATTGGTTAGTCTTATTTTTAATCAATTTGTATTTATAAACGCAAAAGAATCCATCATACTGTGGGATTCCTTAAAATAGAACTATCTGTATAGGTTAGCGTTAATTATTTAGCACTTACAGCCGCTCTTGACCAATTTAATTTTGCAAAAATGCTTACATATAAACGGTAAACAATTTAGTTTTATAACTGCTTTAAACAACAGTTGATTAAGTATATTATACCGATTGATTAAATCAAATGTGTTTTTATTCATTTGAAATACTGCACAGAAATCTTTTTTGATAACATGTTTTGCTATGTCGATCACTGAGTTTGGGTATTCTAAATTAACGATTAATTGTAGATCTATTAACTGAGAGGTCAAGGTTTCTGACAGAGATTGAAAATACATGTATATATTATAAATAAATGTATAGTAAATCTAGTTTATTCATATTCTTATTATCGATTATGAAATACTAAGATACGAGTCATCTAAAATGAGTTGTTCATGGATTAGAAAGAAATTACACAACTGCGCAATTGCTAAAAGATATTTGCTCAAACACATGTTACACAAATGCTGACAGATATTTGCTCTAACACATGTAACACAAATGCTGACATATATTTGCTCTAACACATGTAACACAAAAGCTGACATATTTGCCCTTACACATGTATTAAACACAAAAGCTGACAGATATTTGCTTTAACACATGTTACATAAATGCTGATTGATATTTGCTCTAACACATGTAGCACAAATGCCGACAGATATTTGTTCTTGTACATGTAACACAAATGCTGATAGATAATTAATCTCAGAGAAGTTTTATTTATTTGTATACCAATATAACACACATCGAGCGAGTATCTATTGTTATTTCTATTCAGATAGGTAAACCCTCTATGGGGAGAAAGAAGGATAAAAAATAAGATAACAGAAAAATGACATTTCAAACGGAAAAAAAGAAATGAAGCAAACAAACGTCAACATATCAATAAATTGATGAAACTTAATGGATATTTCAGATAGGGTCACGCTTGTTGTCTGACAAAATCAATAGCTTAATACAGACAGCAGTTCTTACAGAAAGTCTTAGATAATCATATCACATATTACCTTTTCAAATGTCGGAATCGATTTTGACCGAGAAGTTTTTTTGACTCCGTGATTGCTACATTAGAAATACAATAAAAAATGATTATGAGTGACTAACAGAATATTAGATAGAGAAAAAAAACAATATCTAGATTGCGATTTATGTTCCGAAACACGTTTGAATCGTGCTACATTGACGTCTTTTAAACGAAAAGATGTTTACCAGTTGTTTTTGTAAAACCGATGACAATATCTTTTATTAACAAATTCTCTGTTGATATGAGACATATAAAATCTTTTCTATTTAAGTCTATATTATTTAGATATCTGTTAATTTCACTTTTAGATTTTTTCTTTTTTTAATAAACATTGTAATAATTATTGCATATCGCTTCTCAACAATAATTATCTCCTATAAGAAATGTTGTTTTACCAGGAATTATGTTTCTAAATTTATTGCAGGTAGGGACTGACTTGTTTTATACTGATGCCAAGACCAAATGTATCTTTATACATTTTTATTCCATAGAACGCCCACACGTGAACATTTATCACAGAAATCATTTTAGCAAGCTGATTTTTACCTAAAATGTGTTACAAAATTTAATATCGTTCGCCTTCGTTCTAGATTTTTATGACAACAAACTGTTGACTATTTTCACAATTTTCCGTCACAAGAGCAAATGAAAGAAACTTTATACGATATTTCGTAGGAAATGTTAATTTCAAGTTGGAATTTAATAAACTAAAAGTTATAAGAAGACGCGTTTAAAATACATTTTAATTCTGCTTCCGAAAAGATATTTAGAGTAATTAAAGCCAATTACGATTTCCAGATTTATTTAATATTCTAAATGAATAAGCTTCTTTTGATCGCGTGTTTATATCTAATGTCCTCTAAAAGCTTAAAGTACTTGATCAGACAATATGTAAAGCATTTATCTTGAAATAACAATTTTCTTGCGGAACAATTAGATGGGAACTTCAAAACTCATTTTCTATTTCGCATTTATGGGAATATTTGAAGTGCAATAATATTTTGATTTTGACAAATATTATACACACCACGTGTCATTAATGATATTTCAACGATGAGATATATATATTTCTTGTAATTGTAAAAAGAGATAATTGAATTATGTCTAGCCTAGTTCCCACAGGAAGGGTAAAATAACAATGATGTTTCCTCGATGTTTGTCAAATAAATGTTTGTCTTTAAAATCAAATCATATCTTATACTCGTATCATTATATCATCATATCGTAGCATCATGTCATTACACTCAGGCATAAGATACAACAAACGGCTCTCCTTACTTTACTTTTAACTCTTACTTTAACTAGTAAATATTTCGGTAGAAAAATAAATTTTCACCGTACTATAGACTAAGAAGTTATATAAAAAAAGGTTTTCATACTTTCCTTGTATAATGTTATAGATTATAAAACTGAAACAAAAAGTGTACACATAAACTACATCTAAGCTAAGCATGCTTATAGATGGACGAAGCTAAGCGACAAGATTACACTAAGTCTGGAGGATATACGGGTGGCAGTGTTACCTTCGGATATGAGGGAATATCCCTTTTAAGGCAGATCTTCCTTTCATCACTCAGCGAACTATAAAAATGATCGTGAGTGTTACTACCATACAATAAGGGTCTGAGATCACGTAGTTTGATGTACGCATGCGCCCCGCAGGTAAGGGAAATCATAAAAGAAAAAAGAGAAAAACACAAATATTAAACAAGGTGACAAAACACAAAAAAGACGGTTTGGTTGAGTCACAAAACTACATAACTAGCGATAGATCACTGGTAAACGAAAGTCAAAAATACTCTATAGCATTGTATATAATTACATGCATACAATGTGTTCCTTTAATTGGCAATTAAGGTGTTAACTAAATGCGCTTCCGTTTGATAGTTAGATGCTCTGTTAGTAACTAGTGAGGATGTATATAAACTATTCAACATTCTAGTAACAACAAATCAATTGATTTAAGTGCTAAGAAATAGTTTAGTTTCGTTTATGTTAACAATGTTGTTTGTTGCTACTTTTCTGAGAGAAAAAAAATCATGTTTCTATGTCCTTAATAAATAAAAAATAATTTGATAACATCAAATCATTTAATCATATAGTATATTTGCATTTATAGATGAAAATAATGATAAAAAAAACGTGAAGAGTTTAGTTTAGACATAATATTGGTTAATATTGGTAAAAAACTTGAAGGCTTGAAACAAAAACACAAAAAAAACAACATTAATAACATAATTATTTAGTTAGGTCAAGTACTAGTTAATGGATGGTAGTTCATGTTATTTACGTCATTCAGCTAATTCACATGTTCTTTCGAGTTACAAGTCTTGAGATATCACTTCCCTTTTACAGACATCAAAGATATACTTAATAAATTAAATGTCAATGAATCAGGGTGTATATCATTGAAGGGATTTTAACGTAGACTCAATGACGAGATATTACGGAAATTATCCGGAACTACTTAAGATGTTATTCACGTGCTAGTAATTAATTTAAGAGAGACGCCACTAATGTACTTTGAAATCTTATTTCTCAGAACATGTGCTGTTAACAGTAATATTCACACTTATTCTCAATTTTAATTCAAAATACTAACTTTGGCATTGTAATTACCGATCGTAAAAAGACATTTTAAGCAGAAAATAGCTGCTTTAATCTAAAGCATTAAATTTAAATTTTGTTTCTAGAGATTGAGATATTAATGTTTTTTGTTTTGTTTTGAAAAGGAAACAAAAACATTAATAATGAAGATTCAAGAAGTTTGACATGTATAATAAATCTAAGGTAAAATCGATCACAGAAGACAAGAATTTTCCATCTAATAGCATGTTTATAAACAATAAAATGTTTCTATAGATTTATATCTTTTATTTTCTAATTGCTATAAATTGATAACTTGGCAATCCTGCTTAGACAAATAATATTGTTCAGAAACACAAGGCAAATAAATAATATTAGAAGTAGGTAATTTGCAATAGAAAAAAACTTTATTGTATAAGGCATTCATTATTCTACCATCTTCTAACGTTTGATCGTTATTTCTAAATTAAATTAACTTGTTCCAGACTAGCGGTAGAGAGCAATTTCAAGACGAGCATGCTCAATAAGACCAAAATAAACAATTTGAAACCAATTAAGGAATGTAATATCAAGTTTATTGCAGGAAATCAGAGGTGCACAAGTCATTTATTCCACTGCAAGATGAACTTATCTATATCAGTGTAAGAATGTTTACAATAGACCTGGACACATATCAGTAGAGTTTGTGTTTTAATTTCAATGTCTGCCTAAAGGGGTATGTCAAAATACATTTTGATGTTATAAAATAGCATTGCCATTAACGTAAGAAATGGTTGTTGTTAGTTTCATTCTTTGTCCTACGTTTGATATATGAACATTGATTCTTATACTATGTTTTTCGAAACTGGTATTCCTAGTTTTGAACTATCCAATTTAGCATTGAATTTAATGCTGAAGTTCTTTCAGGTTGATATAACTATTATTGACTATTTTGACAAAATTGTCTGGTTCGGACTTGTTTTAACTTATGATTATTGATAAGATGCCATATGTGTGTAAGAGTATAACTACATCGCTACATGTCTTGTTGTTATTGTATTGTATTAATATGTACACAATAAATATAAGGTGTCCTTCAATTAAAAATCAAATTCATGGCAAACCTATAGTGATTCATATATCTTATTAAAGTTCTAGTGTTTTACTTTATTTACTGTTGTATATATGTTTTATATTGTTGTTGAATTAATAAATATCTTAAATAATAATCAATCTCTATCCAAAACTTTTTTGATAGTACAAATTAAGATGTAAATATATTTAAACGGTCAAACTGTAGATTTTTCTTGTCAAAAAGTATATAGGAGGCTAGTTTATATATTTTATAATGTGAATTTAGTGTCTATCATTTATGATAAGTTCCCTACCTGCGTGAGTACATGTATATATACATATGTTAGCATGCTTACGTTCACTTTGTCGTGTAAAACACGGGTTGTACAATAAAATAAATTGTAAACAAAACACATTTATGTAGATATACATTGAAGTAGATACACACAATATTTTGCAAATGTCTAAAACATACAATTTCTCTTAAGAGTACTTTAACAAATATATATTGGAATTTCCTTTAAATAAAAAGCATGGAAATAACGTAAGACAATGTTTGAAATCTACTTGTTCGGTACTTTGTATTCTATCGTGAGTAGTAGCACAGCTATTTCAAATTTAATATCTAACACATTCTATAATTTTTAGAATTTTTGACATAGACCTTCTCCTAGCATTATTGTTGTTTATGGTTGTTATAGATATTCTAAGTTAAAATATTCATTTTCTTGTTGTCATGGTAACATATTGAAGCTGTCTGTGGTTAAACTAAAACGATGACGAAGCGACGTGTATCTACAACTTACCTAGCGTCTTCAATACTGAATAATAGCAAATATGTTTTAATTAAACACTTTACGACACAAGTACACAGAAGACTGACAATAAGATAGATAATACACGTACCTCTTCTTAATGGACTACAAACTTACAACTTTTCAAACTTTCTTTTTTAATTTCATAGTAAAATATTCGAATAATGCTATGTCACTCACAAAAAGGGATTCAATATTTTTAAGATAGACAAACCCTAAAATTGAATTTGATTGTCTCTGTTTCTAGAAATGTACATGCAGCACACTACAAAGAAAGATGTATGTATATAAGCAAAACAATTCCATACTTTAAACTGGTAATATCTTGTCATGGAGACGTTAACATCGACAATAAATTATTAGAAAACAATGTCATGTTAACACTCACTAAATGGTAGCCACAGACATACTACATATTTGACGCTTGTAATTCGCTAACCTTGTCGTTATAATTTACAAGAGGATGACACGGAGAATAAAAGTGAAACATTGAAAACGTGCCTCTGGTCGTAATACAAAAGAGAGAGAAACATTGAAAACGTGCCTTTGATCGTAATACAAAAGAGAGAGAAACATTGAAAACGTGCCTCTGGTCGTAATACAAAAGAGAGAGAAACATTGAAAACTTGTCACTGGTCGTAAAACAAAAGAGAGAGAAACATTGAAAACGTGTCACTGGTCGTAATACAAAAGAGAGAGAAACATTGAAAACGTGCCTCTGGTCGTAATACAAAAGAGAGAGAAACATTGAAAACTTGTCACTGGTCGTAAAACAAAAGAGAGAGATATGGGGAGAGAGTGAGTGAGTGTGAGACAGAAAAGAGAAACATTGAAAACGTGTCACGATTCATATTACATGAGAAGAGATACTAAAAGAAAGTTACAAAAATATATGACACGGTTATAGGGGTCAACATCAAGATGCGAGGAAAATACATTAAAATACTCAATTTCTCATCGTATATGACATAGTACAGATAATAAAGTTAACTTAACGAATTTACAATGAAAATATTATATATTCCACATATTATCCTTTGATTAAATAAGTATAGTGATGTTATGAAAGGTTTCGAACTGGCATGAAGAAAGAGTGTTATATGAATGAAGCAAGGTTATTGTTTAGACAACGGTAGAAATTCCCGTATTGTGTGGATGACCAGGATATCAATGAATGATGTAGCTTTGACCTGAGACCACTGAGATCAAGTAATTTGTTTAATCCATTTGTAAATATTTTCACTTTCGTGACATTCCGACTATCGTTTCTTCTACGCTATAACATCGTTGCCATAGCTACGTCAGTATAAAATATGAACTACTCAACGTTCCTTAATGTGTTAAAAGCCTTTATACCCAATGCTTAATGTTAAGTCCAAAAAGTTCAAAATCAAAATAAGCCGAAGATATTAAATGAGGAAAATGGAAACTACATTGTGTATGTATTACAGTAAGAAGTTTACATTACTAATGTGTTGCAAATTTTCCTCCCCATTTTTATACGATTTCCCATTAGTCCTTCTTGTGAGAATTTGCTTTTTGCTTTTTTCTGGTCTTGTCTATGAATAATCATGGCCTCATTCTTAGTGAATTATTTATAAACTTTAATACGAGATAAAATAAACAAAAGAATATTAGATATATGCAACATGTAAGTTTTTTTAATTGTCAAATGTATAGTTTCATGTTTATAAAAAAAATGATTGCCATACATCGCCAGATAATTAATTTAAAACTTCACTTAATACTTTATTACGTTTATTAGCAATAGATAAAAGTGGTCATTTTTTATGTACAGAAGTAATGCAAAAGAAGAAATAGATGAAGTAAAATGTAAAGAAATAATTTTATAAATTTTGTACTCATACTCACCTCATCCTGTTGAAATCCACGAACTTTTTCTGTGCCGTCCAGATCTGATCCTTTATTTCCGAAATATCTTTTTTACACTTCTCTATCTCAACAGCTTTTAGACCTTCCACTGTAACAAACCCAAGAAACAGAACCGTGAAATATTCAAGTATTGTATATGGTAATATATCCACGGATAGATAATGAATTTACTTTACCTAATCTTTGACACTAGTAACTGTGAACATAGTTTATTTGTCATGTATGATATGCTAATATTGTAAAATATTCATGCGTTAACCGAGACACTTCAGAAATATAACATAATAAAACAAGTGAGCGTGTAATGTTATAATTATACAACTGTACATAAAGTTAATCTAGCTGTTATAAAGTTAACGCAACGCAAGAAAATGTCATATACTTCTCAGAACATATACAAATCTGATATAAAAATAGCTGCAATATAATTCTTATCTGTCATAAAGATAAACAGACCGATCAGAAATAAAACATAAAAAAATGTTTATCGTTCACCAAGAGATATTTCAAAATACTAACAATTTCATATAAAAAATGACACTAAATAATTTGTTCAGAAATATACATTTTGTGTAAATCTGTAAATCAACACTGTTTTAAATGTTCAATACTGTCATATGTTGTGATATGTTCAGCACTGTGGATGTGTTAAACATTGTGAGGAGACATGTTCAATATTGTGACTTTTTATGTTTATGTTGTGTGTGATATGTTGTGATTTGTTCCACACTAAAATATGTTCAGCACTGCGATACATTAAAAAATCTGGATATGTTTAACACTGCGATACATTAAACAGCTCCATATGTTAACACTGCGATACATTAAAAAATCTGGATATGTTTAACACTGCGATACATTAAACAGCTCCATATGTTAACACTGCGATACATTAAACAACACGATATGTTTAACACTGCGAAACATAAAACAACCCGATATGTTCAACACTGCGAAACATAAAACAACCCGATATGTTCAACACTGCGATACATAAAACAACCCGATATGTTTAACACTGCGAAACATTAAACAACCCCATATGTTTAACACCGCGATGCATTAAACAACCCCATATGTTTAACACTGCGATGCATTAAACAAATCGATATGTTTAACACTGTGATATACTCGGTTCCTATGATATCAAGGGTTCTATGATATCAAGGCATTTAAATTTTCTGTGACTGCTAGTAAAAGCAACACCTGATGATGCTAATATTTGTAAAACTTGCACACTAGATTCATTTTCACCTGCCAATGAATTTAATTTGGTGAATAATGAATGTATTTGTGGCAAGAAAACTATTTTATAAAACCTTCATATTTGACTACCATTTTCCTTAATGGTTTTTACACAGTCAATTAAAATATGTTATAAACACATATACTGACATATAGTCTGTTCATATAGTTTTAATTTTATAGCAAGTTAGCTGTTGGAAGTTTTTCACAACTTAACTTGAAAGTTTTGACCCATCTATCCTTCCATACTTGCTTTTTTGGGGACTACCTTGATACCGTAGTAACCTCCTCTGAAATTTCCCAAAATGGCAGACATTGAAAATATTCTAAAAAATGTCATTTTTATTGGTTCTTTTGAAATAATTTTTTGACAAACAGTTCTGGAAATTGTTCAATTATAAGATAGAAAAAAATCTCATTCATTTATGATATTTATATTTAAATATTTTCCGATAAACGTTAAGTACCGTGATATCATAGAACCCCGGGCTACATTAAACAACCCCATATGTTTAACACTACGATATATTAAACAACCCCATATGTTTAACACTGCGATACATTAAACAACTCGATATGTTTAAATATGTGACATGTTTAACAGTGCGTTAAATGTATATGATACATTGCCATATGTGCAGCACTGCCATATGGTATGTACTGTGATGTGTCCAGAACAGTAATATGATATGTTCAGTACTGATATATGTACAACACAGTTGTATGTACATCATTAAAATATGTACATCAGTGTAATTTGTACAACACCGCGATATGTACTACAGATTGTGTTATGATCAGCAGCACTTCTTCATGTACAAAACTGCGTTATGTACAGTACCATGATATGTATATCACCATTATATGTGCAGCATTTTTTTTAATTTTATGTACACAACTGTGGTATGTACAGTATAAGGACATGTATATCACCATTATATGTGAAGCATTACTATATCATTATGTACAGTACTGTGTCATGTACAACACTACTATGAATATGTTTAGCACAGTAGTATGTATTAACACTGTAGCATGTTCTGTTCTAAGTGATTTTTGTAATAAGTAGACACATGAGCTCATTACAAAACATCACAACTAACGAACTGAAACAAACCTATTTATTTACAATTCACAACCGTTACTATAAATATATTAATACATTTTTGACATTCCTTGTTGAAAGTTAATGGTAAGTCGCAATTCATGTATATCGATTATTAAAACATGTTTATTATAAAACGATACTTGGAAACAAAGCAGCGAAAATATTTGTAATATTAAGGATGCAATTGTCCTCTTAGTAATATAATGTATGGATAACTTGTAATTTAAGAATTGGTGCAGATGTTTACTGTTAGATTTATTGGTGTTGGTTTCTGTAACGACTGTTTGTTCTATTTTATTTCTTGTTTTGTCTGATGGAGCAAATATATTAATATATTGTATACTAATTATGGGTATAAATTAACCGCAGTATTAGGATTTCGACAAAATGTTACTTAATATAGCAAGTGCAATTATAATGAATCATATAAGTTGCTGTTTTTATATACAATAAAGTATTCAAATATATTTAGGTTTAGCAGATATACATGTATATTGAGAACTTGTATATCAGAAAATTATTCTTTTCTTTTTTTCCATGAAAATTTTTCTAATTTTCTTTTCTTTTTTTCCATGAAAATTTCTAAAAAAAGATTGATTATGTCGTTATAGAAAAGTTGTTTTTCTTGTTTTGGAATGTGATCGTGCTATACCAAGATATTTACATAGACAGAGACGACGAAAAAGACCTCGGCAATTAATTATTTATTCATATGTTATGTAAGGCGATATCACTGGAAGATAATGTAACAAATTTACTCACTTTCTAGCTTCCGTTCTAATGCCGTCAGTCTGGTCGAAATCTCTGATCTCATTTCCTCAACTTTAAAGGCCCTGCAATTAAATATATATGTAAAATGAAACTTAGTATGTTTGTTCTCTCATACAAGCGTCACAGGAATCTGAGTTCGGACATGCTCGATATGACACTTCCGTTTTAATGTTAATTTGAATGCCTTGCATTTTTATTTATTTATTTATTTATTTATTTATTATATATAAGTAAGTAAGTAAGTAAGTAAATATTTTATTATAGTGACATATGAAATATGTTACAAATATACAGTTATTAAGTTGTATTGAAAGCATCCGGTCCAATGGACCTATACGCCAATAAGTTTGTAATTGTTGTCATATTTTGTGCTCGAGCGTTTTAAATAATTCCATAATTAAGTAAATTTTACGGCCTTCCTGATAGGCCTAATCGCAAGGATATACAAAGAAGTAAGACATGGAGAATATCGATTATATAAGATAATTAAGGGAAATAAAAAGAGATTTTGTTTATAAATTTTAGCCTGCCAATTATAATACCAGTACAAAAAATGTCTTGGGTGAGTTTATTTAGAGCAGTCGTTTATTAAGAGATTTGAGAAAAATAATAAGCACGTACTTGTTAAACTGATCGGCTACATGGGTCATCAGGTGTGTTAGAACCTCGCTATCTCCTGAAATAATAAAATATAGATATTCATGTATAATATATGTATTACTCAATGTATATCATCCATTGAATAGCGCTTAACTATATCTCTGACTGTATATTGCTCACAGTATATTACGCACTGTCGCTATTTCACTCACTATTTCTCACTTACTATATACCATTCACTGTTTATCAATTTAAAGTATTTGACTCACTATCTCTCATTATATATCACTCACTGTACATGACTTACAGTATATCATTCACTGTTTATCAATTTAAGTATTTGACTCACTATCTCTCAATATATATCACTCACTGTATATCACTTACAGTATATCATTCACTATATATGATTCACTATATATCACTCACTGTATATCAATCACAGTATATTCAGGTTTATATTATTCACTGGGAAGGACAATTGGTTTAAACATATGTATTTAAGCTCCATTGCGAAACAAGTTCTTGCAACTTATATTTATCACTTTCAAGTCTGCTTCCTGGAACCAGCCAGTACTGGTGTCATATAAAGATACATGGTCGTGACCTGAGTAGGGCTCGAACCCATGATCTCTGGGTTGAGAGACAGACACCTTAACTACTAGGCCACCGCTCCCCTGAATGACAATTAATGTTTATCATTCACATACTTTATATCACTAGTAATTCAATTTGAAAGAATAAATAATAATAATACAGAAAAATACAGTTACATTAAATATGTATTAAATTAATTCTTGCTTCCGTTAAAGTATGTGGTAAATGTATTCAATGTGAAAATTAATCGCCAAACAATGAACAATTTTAACCGGGGGGGGGGGGGTTCTTATCTAATTATAGAAATCTTATTCCATTGTGATGAGTAATAAACGTATTTGGGTTGTAAAACATGTCCCCGAACCACAAACAATATAAATAATAAATATATTAATGAAAGCCTCATCCTCATGGGATTAATACAGTAATTAAAATATATGAATAAAGAAATCTAATATATAATTGATATAAAGTTTCTACTTTTCATTAATTACTTCCCGCCGAAGATTCTTATAAAACTCACGATGTGTAAATCTCACGACGTCCCTAGAAATAACTGAATAATGGTAGCAACATAAACGGTCCCCTCTAAGGCATTATAGATTCTTAACAAGAATATACATTCACTTTTGTTTCTTACTTCCGCAAAAAGGGCAGGGACAAAAGCATAAAAATTACATATATCAAATTAAAAACTGAGAACACTTACCTTGATTTGACGTTGGCTGTGAAATTTGTACTTTGTAAGGTGAACTGAAGAAGAAAAAAATGTAAAGATGTTCATTAAGCCTGAAGAATACATCATTTTTGTTTTCAAAAGGTTTTTTTATTGTTTTCTTACAGTTTCATTGTCCCTTTACATATACATGCACCTAATCTGACGTCATCTTGAGCCATGTTAGAAGGAACGGTTATTCATTCGTAAGGCTTTATGCTTTAAATGACTGTGTTAAACATCTGCGTCTTTAAATGCCGTGATCTATGGAAAAAGTATTTAACTATAGTCTCAATTAACCTTTTAATGCTGAGTACCATATTTGTATTGAAAGCCATGGAAATCAACATTGAAGAGTTCCGTTTTCTTAGCAGAACACATGGCATGACCTGTACGTAACTTAACGTTGTCATAACGTTGCCATGACGTTGTACGTAGGATGTGTCTTTTAGCAGTTGTAAGGTTAGCATTAGTTGTTAATTCGAATAGTCAATTTTTTTAACGTATTTTCAGTATTTAACTGTAATATTTTTTAAATAATCTATGTATGTATAAATCATATCAATTTGAATTACACTTCGTGCTATAACACGTTGACTGTTTGAATCAATAAAGCATTCTATAGGTGATTGGTCGTTGTAAATATAATTGTAAATGAAAATACGATTGAAGGTTAAGAAATTAAATCTTTTTTTTCTTTTTAAATTATATAACAGAGTAAAAGGAAAGTAGTATATTTACCTTGGCGTGTTACTGGGCATTGTCGGAGACATTGAAATATGGGCGCCATTTGGGTCTTTGAGGGTTAAAATACAGTACCTGAAATTAAAACATTGTATTTAATACACTCACAACATAGGCCTTAGCCTTGGATTCAGGCGTTGATAGTTTTTGCTAATTTATAACATTTTTTTATTCATAACATATGCGCTAAAATATTCCGTATTCGTTCGTCGTTTTTGCCAAACAGAAACATAACAAAAAATCGACAGACTGGAACCCAGGCTACATAGGCCTATATATTAGTGCTATTTTGTTTTGATTGAAAGGTGATAAAATAATGCATATTTTACATAACATAGATATAGAGCAAATAAATGTTTTCTAAGAAAATATCGACTTGAAAAACATGGGTTATACACTTAAAGGCCCTTTAAGGCCTAAAATTATATCGTTTTTTATTTGTCCAAACCTCATGAGATTTGATGTTCTGTTACAGTTTCAAAATAATTTCCAATTCGCCATATAATTAAATAATTCTTGTTTGTTTCTTTTTGTTTTGGAATTTAGTATAGTAACGGTGGTTTACAGTAGTATTTTGTATGGAAGTCAAACGAAAACTTTGTTTAGGAAATAGTTGTAAATTTTGAGTGCGTTGTTGAAGGACAATGAACCATTCTAGTTCATATGAAAGCCTAAAAGCATTTGGTTAATGTCGTCACTAATATCTGACGCCATATGACACGTAAGCATTCCTGTTTTTGCATCGTGTGATGATGCATTCAACTGTCCTATATGTTTTAGGGGAATAATGTGAAGCATGTTAGAATTGTATTTTACTTCTTTAAATACATATAAGTTCACGTACAGCGCTTCTTTCTACAAGTGATAAGCATATAATATGTCCTTATAACACAAAAACTGTTTATATCATATCCGACCGTGCCGATTTTGCGACTTCGTAAAAAAAGTATTGCACCGCCGTCACTGCATTTGACGTGACGCCATTTGTGTTATACAAACATAGCGTATAGACACACTAAATTATAGTGTTACACTATAGGCGCGTCAATGAAAAATGATACTTTTGCACTTTAATCATTAATTTTTTTGCTAATGTGATGAATAGAATATTATATTTGTGTAGGTTCGTCACTGAACTAATTAAACTCGTTGAATAAAATAATTTTTTGCTCGCTAGAGGCTCGCAAAATATTATTTTATTCAAATCGTTCAATAAATTCAGTATTGAACCTGCACATTCAATATCCTCTATATATCAACACAAGTTTGCCTTTTCTAATGAAGAAACCTTAGAATTTCTTTGCCTTTAAGTAACTTGTCTTAGCTAAAATATAAGACTGTAGAAAATGACATAAAGTCTGCTGAATGAAAATTTGATTAATGTTTTCTTATTAATTGAATCATTTATAATCACCATACAGTATACTTCATTGACAATCCATTTCAAACCGAAAATAAATTTTTCTCTATGATAAAAATATAATTAAAAAACACTACAGTTGGGTTTTAAATAGATTTTTATCCTAGATACAAATTATAATTAAGAGGATACTAGTACGTTTTGGCTTTGCTTTAAGATATTGTTAAAGGTTAAAAACGAATTATTCTGCGAGATCTCTAGCGGCCAATCAGAACGGACGACTCATTTCCTGAACAGAATTTAATACCTTTAAAAAGAACGTTATCATACGCGTCCGGGCGAGGGATAAAACACTGTTGAGTGACTGAATAAGAAATCGGACAATAAGATATTTAATATGAGTGAGGTAACATTATTAAAATATGATAAACAAATTAAACTTACTTGCTACAACCGGCTGCCTGAGCTACAAGATCATGTATATCACGTGAGCTGCAGTGTTTGCTAAACACAATCTGGAAATATAAAACATTTAACATTAGTAACGAAATCGTGTATATCACGTGAGCTGCAGTGTGTGCATAATACAATGAGAAAATATAAAACATTTAATATTATATGTATAATGTTGTTTCCAACATCATTAAGGCGATCTGAAATAAACAGCATTTAACATGAAAAACATTGTTTATTGAACACAACACGACAATGTAACGACACTGAATGTATAACATATTTAAGTGTGCTTAATTTTAGACCATAAATAGTAGTTATTTTAACCTCATTAATTTAATTGGTATCTTAATAAGCTCTTGTGTCAATCGCAGTAACATGTAACATACAGTGATAAACCTTCAAACAATAAACAATATTTTCCAATTAAACTAAATTTATACGGTACAATAATGCACTTCTTATGACTAATACAGGAAAAACTCTTATGTATAGATGTTGTTTGCAGAAGAAGAAAAACGCAGCCCACGTATTGATGTATTTCATTTTGTTTCTTAAAACAATGCTGATATCAACGTACTCGCACACTTTTAGCAACTCCTCTCGCATCTTTATTGTGATGAACTGTTTTGTTTTCGTTGTCATGGAAACACGCATTATTACAATACCTGATAGGTAATTACTCAACATGTCTAAATATCATCCTAATTATGTTAAAATACAATCACCGTAAATATCAGAGGTCATCCGCTTAATTGGTCATTTTTAATGTTATCTTTGTCCTAAAAATCGTTATCCTCTGAACGCATTGATCGTAATTATCTCTATAATCATGATGAAAAAAACGCTTTAATTAATAAATGGACGCTTTTTTAAGTAAGTATTCTTATTTCCCATCATGCTTTTAAGAGGTTTAGTCTATAAACAGTAATAAGAACAAAATTAAGTGATGTGTTCTTAAAAGCAATGTCATTCACGTTGGCTTTCAGTAACTCGTTATTGTAACGAGAACAGATAATAAACATAAACTACATATCTGTTTCCATAGTAACTGACCGGAAGTTCATTACAGGAGGTTGTCCTAATTCTGGCGGCATAATTTCAAAGCCATTCACCTAAATACATATTAAAATGTGCATGCTTTATATTCCTAAATTATGTATTGTCTGCTTATTTGTTGTTGATATTTTACTATGTAACAAATACTGTCACGAGTCAATTTAAAGATAGATGAAATGTCTCTAAAGTAGATACTGAGTGGTTACTGTATTTTGTAAGACATTTATAGTGGTCACTGTTTTATGAGATACTTAGTAGTAACTGTATATTTGTATCAGTGTTAGGTTGGTAACGTTTGTGATGAGAAACTACGAGTATATGGTATATTTACACCAGATAATCTGGAAAGTCGCCATATGACTTTTAAAGTTTTTTTTTGTTTTTTATTGTTTGTTTGTTTTTTTTGCTCAAATCCATGTCTCTGCTCAATTTCAAACAATAATACTTGTATGCAATAGATTTTTAAATTTCCTGATGGAGGACAATATACATAAATAATAAAATGTAAAATTCTTCTGACATGCATAAAAAGAGGGTTGATGTGGGCGATTGATTAAATGTATGCAGGGTTTAGTGTCCAACTTTATTTGTCATCCAATGAAAACGCTGTATTTCTTAAAAATTTTGTGCGTTAATTTTCATAGAAGTACAAAAGTCGATACTATATCGAATTCCGTTCATAGTCGCCTTCTATTTTTCATAGTACTTCATAGAACCGCGTAGTGACGTAATAAAGTGGATAATCATGAGGCCAAATAAAGTTTGACACTAAATATGTTAGTATTCATCCGTGCTGTTCTACAGAAATTAGAAACATTCTCCTGTCGCTATCGCTCCCGTCGAAGTTTCTAATTTCTGTAGAACAGCACGGATGAACACTAGAATATACTTAAAAGGTGCATAACTGATTTTCTAGAATGAAAAAATAACGCCTTGTTCGGTAATAATGCGTAACGTTATTTTTTATAATGAATAACCGGGGCCGTCATTGCAGTAAGCTATTTTCACTGGCGCCACGAGACATGAAATTAAAAAACGGGCCCGTGCTCGCGTGATTTTATCCTTTAATGCATGTTTTCCGTACACGTGAACGTGCACTTTTTATGAAAGAATAAAAGATATCATAGTCTACATATATCCTGATCTGATAGAAAAACATATAGATTACTAGCGATATCATGATACACGTATAATTGTGCGTAAAATGTAAAACCTGTATAATTTTATCATAAAACCTGTATAATTTGAGCATAAACCCGGTGTTTCTAGTACGCTTTTAGCACTTAGACAAAAATGTAATGCAATAAAAAATCATAACAAGTATGTTATTACACAAAGAAAATCACGTTCTTTTATATCACATGTCTAGACGAGCCGTATATAAAACATTTGTTATTTAAATAATTATATAACTCTGTGTTATCTTGGAGAAAATTCGACCTTTCGCCATTTTTAAAACTGCTGTCTAGAAATTCCGAGAGAAACTATACAATGCAGGATTTTTTAATTTCGGTAAATTTTAGTAGTTTCTTAAGTTAGTGAAAAGTTGTTGTCGTATTTCAATAAATTACTAGTTATAAGGAATGTTATACATGTCATATGGATATACATAAAAGGCTGACTGTACATACAAGGTTCGCGCGTGTGTTTGTTTCTTTTTTATCTTTTTTATATACAGTTGACAGCATACATGTATATAAATGATATAAATTATTAAATCATCCAGTGAAAACCGCCGTTATGCAGTATTAAAATGAAAGTGATAGTTCTGTGATAACAGTTGAACAATTAACCGGTTTCGTAATAATAGAACTGCTATAAGATAGGTGTCTCTATATCAATTACAAATGCTGCACGACTTAACATTCCAATTGTTCTAGTGAACGTGTATATATATGTTTCAATATATGATATCATTGTAAAGAGTTCACTGTGTTGTATGGTATGACAGTTCTCACAGTACAATACGTGTTCATATTACACGATTCTGTCTGTGTTAAGTACGTCATAGGTTTTAAGTTAAAGTGTTTACTTCTTGTCTCGTAGCAACATGAATATTAATAACCTCCTCATTATTGGTAAAGGAAATGAATTATGATTGCTGAGCAATATAAACTATAATTTGTATCAGACAAACTATAATCGAAGGATGATATTAAGCCATGTAAACAGAAATTTACATCGGCATACAGTCAAACTTGTATATAACGGCCTGTCTATATAGGAACACAGAAGAGTGTCACGTTTAATAAGCGCTTACTCAAATCTTAAGTTTGCTGTATACTGAAATAGTGAAAAGCTTTCTTTGTATTGTGGGACTATAGAGAAGTATTTTAGTACAGGTTTCAATGTTTTACAATTTTTTTTGTATGTTAGCTTCATTATATTTTCCATTATATTTTGAAAGAGTGTGTAAATTATCTTTAAAAAATAATGCACTATTACATGAGTCGCGTGCCAGTATAAAACATTAGACAATGTTCAATTAATTGAGAGCTCATATAGAGAGATGGACATAATTAACTGTAAGATGAATGTTCTGTTAGCACGAATGACTGTTAATTGTGCGTGGATCACGTGATTTAAACATTTCCTCGTGTCCTTTCTAGATAAGATGTAAGCATGTAAGAATCTCAAATCAGCATCTTTCAAGTCTAGTTAATTTGCCCAATAACAGGACTTGTAATTATATTTGAAAACATTTCTCTAATATAAAAAACAAACATGTTCTCTATTGTGCCTAGAAATTTACATTTTTCCTCAGGCAAAGATACGAATTTTGTTCAGTCGAATGTGTTAATCTTGATTTTTTTTAAAGCACAAACATTTATATAGATTATTAAAATATTATATGAAATCACTCAATCAGTACACTTTATTATGATACCATGTAAATTTAAATCTTGCTCTCGTATTTTAGTTATGTTTCCTTTTAGCATTAGATAAATACATAAAGCAATTTCAAATCGCATTGATATGATTTCCTCAAAACTATCAATTTGAAGCTTATAAGGATTTCTAATATTTTGATAAATGCATAGATCTCCACTTTACCGATATGCCAATAGACACCGCTATTCTACACAGTCATCTACACAACACAGATACATTTTGAGCAACGCTATATTAAAGAATATAAAAACACATGTCTATCACAGCTACTTTGGAATTCCAAAACACAATTCAAACACTACTATTAATTAACAAAGAACAAAACACATATTGAACACCGTATACCATCGTAGAAAACAAATAACATATCTTAATTTAAAATGTGGCCTTCTAAACAATATATAGAAACACAAAACACCTTAAAACAATAACAATTATTTCTTTAAGATTTTGTCCTATAACTTTTTTGAGAAACGCTCCTTTCAGTTATTAGATATAATTTATACAATTTTAATTTACAACTATTTTAACAAATACGAGTATACATGCATAATAAGTTTTATAAAATAACGACACTATGACAGAACTATGAAGATATTTATCTGATCTACAAGATATGTTTTACACTTATTTTTGAAAGCTGTCAAAGAATTAGAAAAATGATATTTGATTGTATTCTATTCCAAATCTTGGAACCATTGTAACAGGGGGTCGGGGATGGACCAGTGCCGTGGTTACATTGAGACACATAGGTCAGAGGTAATTTATTATTAGCTCAATTCCAATATTTGCTGGACGATAATAACAATAAAAACGAGAATTATATACTATGATAAAGCAATAAATAAATTGTGATATTATAACGATCGTATTAGTTTATTAAAGGTACACTTACGTTATCATTACATTACATTACATTAAAGGCTATCGCATCAAGGGGGAGAAATGTGAAGTGGTCGTAATCTGACAACAAGTTTTCAATAGGTACAAATTTTTACCGCATGGTGCGAACTGATTGTCAATAATGATGTATTGATCATCTCTCGTCAGATAGTGATGTTTAACAAATGTGCTAACAACGTTCACAACCCCGTCATCATTAGAGAGCTTT